TGTGAAGATTTTTGGTAGTACAGTGTTAATTTTGTCATTGAATAAAGCTTGATTTTATGTGTACTTATAATGTATAACAAAATAATATTATTGAAAAGGCCTGATGTGGTGGCACACTCCTGTGATCCCAGCTACTGAGGAGGCTGAGGTGAGAGGATTGTAGGTTCAAGGCCAGCCTCAGCAAGTTAGTGAGGTCCTAAGCAGCTCAGAGAGACTGCTTTTCTCAAATTAGAAAATAAAAAAGGGCTGGGGATGTCACTCAGTGGTAAAGTATCCCTGGGTTCACTCCCTAGTACACATCCCTTCCCCCCGAAAAAAAAAAAAAAACTATTTAAAGGTTAGGGTTAATAATGAAATTGAAAAACAAGTGGAACATGCATTATTTTTATTTTTTTTCTTGTTTTCTGATCTTAAGTGTTGATACTTAATCCTGAGACTTGACACTTTCAGTGCTCTTGAACACTTGAGGTATATCTCCAGGACCGTTTGGCATTCTAATAACAGTTTTTATCACGTTATATCAAAACTGACATTTCATGGAATTAATATGACAAATGTTTGGTAATTTTTCAGTGAATACTTAAGTATTTACTCTGAGACATTGTACTTAGGTGCTGGGTATACAGAAGATGCAAGATTCATATAGTTCTTTAGTTGGATTGAATTTATGTGAGGAAAAGAAATGTAGACTAAATATGTGGAAAGTGTATAGGTAAATATATGAGAGAACATGATAGGGGACCTAATTCAAAAGGTTGGGATATTGACTTATAGCAATATGGATATAGTTTCCATGTCCTACAGACCCAGGGCTCTCAGAGTGTTATTGTAGACAGCATTATCAGCATCACCAGGAAAAGTTGTTAAAAATGCTCAATTTTGGCAGCACACAGTGGTGCACACCTATAATCCTAGCAGCTTGGGAGCTGAGATGGGAGGATCGCGGGTTCAAAGCCAGCCTCAGCAACAGTGAGGTGCTAAGCAACTCAGTGAGACCCTGTCTCTAAATAAAATACAAAATAGGGCTGGAGATGTGGCTCAGTGATTAAGTGTCCCTGAGTTCAATCCCCAGTATCCCCCCCAAAAATATGCTCAATTTTGGGGTTCCATCTCACATTTTCTAAGAACTGGGATTAGCATTAGGTTGGTGTTTTCTACAAGCTTTCCATAGTGATTTAGATGCATGCTAAAATTTTAAAACTGCTTTAGTCTAGAACAGTGCTCTCAAACTTTAACTTGGGTAAAAGTCACCTAGAGAAACGATTAACCACAATATATTTGGGTGTGGTGTAAAATTTGTAACTATTAAGCTTTACCACTGAACTATATCCCCAGGTCTTTTTAGTTTTTGAGACAGGGTCTTGCTGAGTTATTGAGGACCTCTATAAATGGTTGAAGCTGGCCTCTAACCTGGGATCCTCCTGCCTCAGCCTACTGGGTTGCTGAGATTATAAGTGTGAACCACCAACCCTGCTTAAGTTGATATTTAACATTTTTAAAGTTTACCCAGGCACTGTGGTGCATGCTTATAATCCCACTTACTTGGAAGCCTGAGGTAGGAGGATTACAATTTCAAGGCCAGCTTTGGCAATTTATTGGGATCCCATCCGAAAATAAAATAATGAAAAGAGCTGGGGATATAGCTCAGTGGTAAAGTGCCACTGAGTTCAATCCTCACTTCCAAAATAATAAATAAATTAATTGTTTTATGTTTCAAAAGATATGAACAGTGCTTGTTACAGTAGCACACATACTAAAATTAGAATTATATATGGCTCCTGCACAATAATTACTTGCAAATTCATGAAGCATTACATATTTTAAAAATATATGAAGTATACATTCTATCAACAGTACATAAAATTCAAATTAAAACTTCATGATTTGAAACATTTAGTGCAATCCAATCTTCAAGGAACAAGTAGTCTCAGTCTTTTCTCCTGGGTCAGAGCTATACAATTTATTTTGTGGTATTACTATAACCTTATTATCTAACAAGAAGCACTAATACTACTGTAACAGACCAATTTTACTTATGATCCTAGAGCTTAAAATCTTAAATAAAACTGATGTTAGTAGTGTTAAAAAAACGGTATACTACTAGAAGTGCTTACTATGGATGCAAAAGTAATTTACCATTGAACATCTGTTGATATAACTGACTTCATTAACTGATTAGTGGATTCCCTTGGATTTCCAGGACAAAAGACTGTGTCATTTGAGAATAGTAAATAATTTCACATCTTATATGACTTCTTTTCCAATCTGGATTCCTTTTATTTATTTTTTCTTCATTTCCCCACTTTGGTCTAATGGTCCTGAACAGAACCTCAGTCTAGTGCTAAAATAAATGGTAAGAATGGACATCACTGTCTTGTTCTATATTAGGACGAAAGCATTCAGACTGTAAACATGGCTGATTTTAGCTGTGAGTTTTTCTAGATACCCATTATCAGCTTGACAGTTTCCTTCTATTCCTGGTTTAGTGTTTCTACAATGGAAGAGTTTTGGATCTTATAAAGGTCTTTGTCTACTGGAATGATTATGTAGTGTTTTTTAATCTATTGATGGGTCAAGTGCTGAACCATCCTTGCATTCCTGAGATATATTCCACTTGGTTATGCTGTGTTATTTTTTTTGGTGTGTGTTGTTGAATTTGATTTGTTGGTACTTTGTTGAGTATTTCTACATTCGTATTTCTAAGAGATATTTTTCCAAGTTTCTTTGTTCTAAAGTCTTTTTTGGTTTTAATATCAGGATAATACTCACCTCAAAGAGTGTCCCCCCAGTCTATTTTTTTTTTTTGGCCGTAGTTTTAGAAAGTAATGGTGTTATCTCTGCCTTTAAATTTAGTAATATGTTATATTCAATAATATGCCAGTATATAGCCTCACATACATAATAGTGGAATTCATTGCTAATGCTGAATAATTCTTAAATCATACTATGATCTCCTCATGAGGGAAAAACTTAAAATTTTATAATTTTTTTTTTTTTATTTTAGTGAGTTGGCTAGGGATACTTCTGGTAAAATAAAGAATCAGAGAACTGATAACAGGCCTTCTTGTTTCACCAGGAGATATATGTTATAGGTTTCTATTACAAACATTGTCACAGAGTAAGATAATTTCCCTTTAGTTACTAGTTTAGAGTTTCCACTACCAAGGAGTATTAAATTTTATTGATCGTCTTTTTCTGTTTTTTTCATTTTCAAAAGCATTAACATAAATAATATACTTAATAAATGTAGTAAAATAAGTTCAAAACTTATATTCTGAAAACTTCAAAACATTGTTAAGTTAAAGGAAATCTACATAAATGGAAAGACATCCCATATTCATCAATCAGAGGACTTAATATTATTATGAGGCATTATTCCTCAAATTGATCTATAGATCAGTGTAGTATCTTTCAGTATCCCGTATGGTGTCTTTGTAGAAATTGACAAGCTGATCCTACAATCTGTGTGGAAATTCTAGAGATCTAGAATAGTCATAATAATCTTTTTAAAAAGAACACAATGTTGGGCTGAGGATGTAGCTCAAGCGGTAGCGCGCTCGCCTGGCATGCGTGCGGCCCGGGTTCGATCCTCAGCACCACATACCAACAAAGATGTTGTGTCCGCCGAGAACTAGAAAATAAATGTTGGAAAATTCTCTCTCCTCTCTCACTCTCTCTTTAAAAAAAAAAAAAAAAAAAAAAAAAAAAGAACACAATGCAAATATTCACTTTCTACAACTTTGAGACTTACTACAAAGCAACAATAATCAAACATGGCACTAGTATAAGGACAGACATAAATCAATCGAATAGAATTAAGACTGCAGAAATACACCCTTACATATATCATTAGTTACATTTCTACAGATGCAAAACAATTCAGCGGGACAAAGATTCTTCTTTTCATCAAATTCTGCTGACATTTGGATACCTACATGCAAAAGAATTAAGTTGAACTTCTACCATTAATCCCCAAAATTAGTGCAAAATGCATAAAGACAGATGTGAAAAATGAAAACTTAGAGGTAAATCTTTTTGATCTTAGATCAGGCAATTATATTTTGTATAAGAGACTAAAAGTAGGAGCAACCAAAGAAAAATCAGACTTCATACCAAAACAAAACAAAACAAAACAAAAACCACCACCAACAACAAACTTTTGTGCTTTCAAGGACACCATCAAGAAAGTGAAAAGAAAGGGGCTGGGATTGTGGCTCAGGGGTAGAGCGCTAGCCTAGCATGCATGAGGCACTAGGTTTGATTCTCAGCATCACATACAAATAAATAAATTAAAAAAAAAGAATCTCTTTTAAAAAAAAAGAAAGTGAAAAGAAAATAAATAGCTAGTAGACATACGAGAAGGTGCTCAAAAGTCATCAGGAAAACACAAAAAATATGAGAACCAGGTATGGTGGCTTACTTCTGTAATCCTAGTGACTCAGGAGGCTTAGGCAGGATTCCAAATTTGAAGACAGCCTCAGCAACTTAGCCACACCCTGCCTTATAATTCAAAAAAGAGGGTGGGGATGGGTTGTTTGGGGATGTAGCTCAGGTAGTGTACCCCTGGGTTTAACCACTAGTTCTGGGGGTAAAAATGACAGCCAGATGCAGTGGTGCACATTTGTAATCTCAGCAATTTGTGAGGCTAAGGCAGGAGAATTGCATATTTGAAGCCAGCCTCCACAATTTAGTGAGATCTTGTCCTAAAAAAAAAAAAAAAAAAAAGCCTGGTTTTGTAGCTTAGTATAACAGTATAGCAGAGAAAAACAAAAACAAAAAATGTAGTGGTGGAATTAAACCCAGAGCCTTGTGTATGCTACACAAGTGAGCCTCATCCCCATCGTTTTAAAACTTTATTTTATTTTAAAACAGATATCCCATTAAGTTGCCCAGCCTGGCCTGGAACTTTGGATCTTCCTGCCTCAGCCCTCTGAGTAGCTAAGATCGTAGACATGTACCACTGTGCCCAGCTCCTAACATTAGTCTTGTCTTTTTTTTTTTTTTAAATGGAATGCTTTATGAATTTGTGTATCATCCTTGTGCAGGGGCCATGTTAATTTCTTCTGTATTGTTCCAATTTTAGTATATGTGATGCTGAAGTGAGAATTTATTTTCCGTTTTTTAAATGGGTGCATTATAAGTGTATATATAATAGTGGAATTTATTGTTACATATTTATATATGCCACAATATAAGAATATAATTTGGTCAACATCATTTCCTAGCAATAACATGATTCTTCTTATGAGAAACTTGAAGCTTTCCTACTAAAATCAGGAGCAAGAAACTCACTATTGATTTTTTGGGGGGTGGGGGTATGGGGGGGTTACCAGGGATTGAACTCAGGGGCACTGGGCCACATCCCCAGCCCTGCTTTGTATTTTACTTAGAGACAGGGTCTCACCGAGTTACTTAGTGCCTTGCTTTTGCTGAGGCTGGCTTTGAACCCGTGATCCTCCTGTTTCAGCCTCCTGAGCTGCTGGAAGTATAGGCAAATGCTACTGCGCCCAGCTCACCATTGATTTTTAACATAGTCCTACCTAATGCAGTTAAATGAGAAAAGGAAATGAAAGGTATATGGATTGGGAAAGAATAATAAAACTTTATTTGTTCACAGATGACATGATGTCTATGTAGAAAATGCAAAAAAAAAAAAAAACTAGGTATGATGGGGACTTCTAGAACTAGCAAGCGTAGCAATGTTCATGATAAAAGATTAATGAAGAAAAGTCAGTTGCTCTCCTACATACCAGAATGAACAAATGGAATTTGAAATTAAAAACACATTGCCATTTACATTAACATGCAAAAAATAAAAATGTTCAGATATAATCTAATAATAGGTATAAGATCTATATGAGTGAAACTATAAAACCATGATGAAAGAATAAAGAGCTGTGCATGGTGGCACATGCCTGTAATCCTAGTTACATAGGAAGTTGAGACAGGGAGATCTCAAGTTCAAGGCCAGCCTCTGCAAATTAGTGAGAACTTGTCTCAAAAAGGGCTGGAGAGGGCAGGGGATATAGTTCAGTTGGTAGAGTGCTTGCCTTGCATGCACAAAGCCCTGGGTTCAATCCCCAGCACCATTTAAAAAAAAAAAAAAAAGGCTGGAGATATGGTTCAATATGATCATTGATTCAATCCCCAGTACTGCAACGGAAAAAAAGGAGCAAAGTAAATAGAGTAATGTCCTATATTCTTGGATAGGAATACTTAGTATGGTCAAGGGGTGAGTTCTTTACAACCTGATCTGTAGATTCAGAGTAATCCTAGCATGTTATTTTGTAGACAATGACAAAATGATTCAAAAGTTTATATGGCAAGGCAAAAAGACCTAGAATAGTCAATTCAGTATTGGAGGTGAATAACAAAGTATGAGGACTGATACAACCTGACTTTAGGACTTTACATAAAGCTACAGTATTATTAAGTGAAAGAATAGAGAAATAGCTCAGTAGAACACAAGTAGAGAGTAGAACAGAGTAGAGAGCCCCCAAAATACACACTTGTAAATATAGTTCAGCTGATTCTTGCCAAAGGAGCAAAGATAATATTTGGAGAAAAATGGTCTTTTCAAATGATGTTGGACATCCACATACAAAACAGAGACTATTATCCAAAGTGTACAAAGAACTCTTAAAATGCAATGATAGGAAAATAAGCAAAGACCCAAACAGAAATCTCTAAAGAAGATATGCAGTTGGCAAGTAAGTATATGAAAATATGTTCAATATTATGTTATTAAGGAATTGTAAATTAAAACAATGAGGCAGATGTGGTGGCACATGCTTATAATCCTATCAACTCAGGAGACTGAGGAAGGAGGATCACAAGTTCCTGAGCAACTTAGCAAGGCCCTGTCTCAAAAATAAATAAAAATGGCTGGGAGTGTGGCTTAGTGGTAAAGCGCTCCTGGGTTCAATCCCCAGTCCCAAAAATAAAAAATAAATAAAACAATGAAATAATAAATATTACAAAGTAATATAAGTAATGCTGTGTTAGACAGTATAATATTAGCATGAGAATAGACAATTTTATATCTATTAGAATGGTCCAGATCCAAAATACAGATAATACCAAATCCTTATAAGGACACAGAGCAACAAGAATTTTCATTCATTGCTGAGGAGAATGCAGAATGGTGTATCCACTTTAGAAGACTATTTATGGTTTATTTTAAAACTAAACATAATTCATATTTCATTTTGCAGTCATTATACTTGCAATTTATACAAATATCTTGGAAACCTATGTTTGCACAAAAATCTGCACACAGATGTGTATAGCAACTTTATCCATAATTGTCACAACTTGTTGCACTTTTTTCCTCCTGTTTTGTGGTACTGGGAATGGACACTGGCTTCCAACATGATAGGCAAGCACTCTATCATTGAGTTACATCCCCAGAAAATTGTCACAACTTTGAAGCAACTGAGATGCCCATCAGTCAGTGAATGGATAAATAAATTGATATAGCCAGACAGTGGTATATAACTATGCTAAAAGAAATAAGCTGTCAAGTCATGAACAGAGAGGAACTTTAAATGTATATTACTAAATGAAAGAAGGGAAATTGAAAAGATGATATAATAAGTGACTCCAAGTAAAAGACATTTTAGAAAAGGCAAAATGGGGCTGGGTTTGCGCAATAAAAAGAGCAGTGATTGCTAGGAGTGGAATGAGGGAGRAATGAATAGGAAGAGCTCAGGATTTTTAGGGCAGTGAAACTATTTGGACAATAGATACTACACTGGTGATACATGTCATTATACATTTGTTAAAACCCATAGAATGTATACCAGGAGTGAACCTTAATGTAAATTATGTATGGACTATGGGTGATAATTGCCAATGTAGGTTCACCAGTTGTATGATTATACTATTGTGGTGCAGGATATCTAGAGGGGAGAGAGTGGTGTGTATATTAGAATATGGGGTGTAGGGGAAATCTTTTATACTTCTCAATTTTTTTTTTGTGAATCTAAAGCTGCTCAGAAAAAGTTTGTTAATTAAAAAATAAATCTGAGATTTGGCTCGGTATATGTGGAGTGCATATGGATAGATCAGGCAAGATATGTGTATGGTTGATGGAGCTGGCTGGTAGATTCACGGGGCTTATAATAACTTTGGATATTTGTTAGGGGAAATCCCCCTATATTATTTGAAACTATTATGACCTTTGTTATTAAACTTTTATTATGTAAAAATTTAAATGTGCACACACCTGTAATTGCTGCAACTCAGGAGGCTGAGACAGGAGGATGGCAAGTTCAAGGTTAGGTTCAGCAACTTAGCCCCTGTCTCAAAAATAAATAAATAAATAAATAAGGGCTGTGGATGTAGCTCAGTGGTAAAGCACCCCTGGGTTCTTTACCAAGAACAAGTATACAAGAGTAGACAAAGTAATATAAGTAATGCTGTGTTAGACAGTATAATATTAGCATGAGAATAGACAAATAGATCATTTTTATACAGTGGAGTTCCCAAACCAGACCCATGTATATGGAGATTTGATGATGATGAAGATGGCAGTATCAAATTGTGAAAAGACTGGAATGGTGGTTATAGAACAATGAGAATTCACAGTTGTTGTACTGATAATTTTTAATCCCCATTTTGTACTTGTGGACACTTAGGGCAGAGAGTTTAAATAAATTGCCAGATTTCATTTAGTCAGTGGTGGAAGAGCCTAAGTATAGCTCTAAAACTATGACCTTAACCACTGTATCATTAGATAGTTAATAATTCACTTGTGGTACCTAGCATAGTTAAATCTTATCTCTTGCAAATGGTGTCACTTTCTATATTAACCTTTTCTTTCTTTTTTTTTTTTTTTTTTTTTTTTTTGTGGTGCTGGGATTGAACCCAGGGCCTTGTACATGCGAGGCAAGCACTCTTACCGACTGAGCTATATCCCCAGCCTAACATTTTAAAATCTAAATTTCTTCACTAGACTGTCAGCCTGATAAAGTGAGCGCCTCATTAATAGAATGTCTTTACTTTTTTCCAGAGGATCTGAAGAGGCAAAATGCAGTATTACAAGCTGCGCAGGATGATTTGGGACACCTTCGGACACAGCTGTGGGAAGCTCAAGCAGAGATGGAGAATATTAAGGCAATTGCGACAGTCTCTGAGAATACCAAGCAAGAAGCTATAGATGAAGTGAAAAGGCAGTGGAGGGAAGAAGTTGCTTCCCTTCAGGCAGTTATGAAAGGTAAAGACAAAGATCAGTTCTATGGCTTTCTAAGATAACCAAATTTTAGCAATAAGAATATTTTCACACAGTCTGAGTTCATTTGTGGCTTAATGTGCTGTCATCTTCAAAGATGTACTGTCAGATAAAARGGAAGTAGGACAGGTGTAGTGACATGTACCTATAATCTCAGCTACTAGGAGGCTGAGGCAGAAGGATTGAAATTTTGAGCCTGGGTGATTTAGCAAGACCCTCTCTCAAAATTAAATTTAAAAGCCAGGTGTGGTGGTGCATGGCTGTAATCCTAGCAGCTTAGGATGCTGAGGCAGAAGGATTGCAAGTTCAAAGCCAACCTTGGCAACTTAATGAGACCCTGTCTCAAAATAAAAAATAAAAAGGGCTGGGGATGTAGCTCCATGGTTAAGTGCCTCTGGGTACAATCTCTGCTAAAGTGCTTGGTTAGCTCATACAAGGTCCTGAGGTCTATCCCCACCACTGCTGGGGAGGGGGGAAGGAAGTCAGCTGTGATACTGTAAATGGATGTATTATTCTGTCTTTAACAGATTTTGTAATAAAGAGTATAATGAGAGTATTATAGAGATAATACATTAAATGAAGACTACAGTTAATTGTTAGGTATAAAGCAGGGCTTAAATATGGGATTTAATGAGTTAGGTATATAATGTTATTGAATAAGGTGTGGGCACAGGGAATGTAATAAACTAGAGAGAGCTGCCATGCAGAAGACAAAGAGATTACACTTAATAGCTGTAGCTGATTATTACTTTTCTGGTCTAGTGTTGCCATGTTGTTTAGATTTTTGTACATGAAATCTTCACTGCACTAAAGGGGATAGAATGATCTGTGAGTTAGAATATCTTTATGGGCTTCTAGTCTGAGACATTTGT